AGCTGCCAAAAAAGCCAACACAGTGTTAGGCTGCATTAACAGAGGGATAGAATGAAGATCACGTGAAGTATTAATACCACTTTACAATGCCTTGGTAATGCCACACTTGGAATACTTGCATCCAGTTTTGGTCACCACGATGTAAAAAAGATGTTGAGACTCTAGAAAGAGTACAGAGAAGAACAACAAAGATGATTAGGGGACTGGAGGCTAAAACACGTAAGGAATGGTTGCTGGAATTGAGTATGTCTAGTTTAATGAAGAGAAGGATGAGGGGGGACATGATAGCAGTGTTCCAATATCTCAGGGGCTGCCACAAAGAAGAGAGAGTCAAGCTATTCTCCAAAGTGTCTGAAGGCAGGACAAGAAGCAACGGATGGAAACTAATCAAGGAGAGAAGCAACCTAGAACTAAGGAGAAACTTCCTAATAGTTAGAACAATTAACCAATGGAACAACCTGCCTCCAGAAGTGGAGAATGCTCCAACACTGGAAGTTTTTAAGAAGAGACTGGGCAGCCATTTGTCTGAAATGGTATAACAGTCATGTCAAACACAAGGACCGGGTCCCAGATGCGGCCCGCAAAGTGGTTTCATGTGGCCCGTGAAGCCATCCTGGAAACAGTTAGGGAACAGCGCCAGCTGCCTTGGTCTGGCCCGGGCCAGCGGGAGTCACTGTACAATTTTGTGGTGGCCATCTATACTGAAACACATTCAGTCTTAGCTCACAAGGCCGTCTGGAAACAGTGAGGAACCAGCCCCTGATGTGTCAGCCCCACCCCGTCGGTGCATGCTAGTGAAGTGTCACCCTTTGTGAGGAATGAAGAAATGCACCATCTCCTGGAAGTGGCCAGCAAATGGCCCTCATCTACTTCACCTATCTGGTTTGATGGGCTCTGGGGGAGGGATTTTGGCAGGCAGTGGGGCGCTCTCCTCACAGTTCCAACAGGCTGAGCCAGGTGACATGAATCCAAAAAGAAGCACAATGCCGCACAGCCCTTAGCCTGCCTGGTTTTGGCAGGCAGCAGGGCACTCTCCTCACAGTGCCAAGAGCTGAGCTGGGTGGTGTGAATCTGATGAGAAGTGCAATGCTGCCTAGTACCCAGCCTGCCCAGTTTCATCAGGGAGCAAGGTGCAAAGCTGACAAGCTTTGCACCGTCCAGCTCAACCTCTCGGTGCTGTGAGGAGAGTGCCCCAGTGCCTGCTGAGATGGGGCAGGCTGGAGGCTGGGCGGCATTGCACAGGTAATGTTGACTCTCACGCTGCTCATGGCATCCCCTCTCCCAGAGCCCACCAAGCCAGATATATGAAGTAGGTGAGGGCCATATGCTGGCTACTTCCAGATGATGGAGCATTTCTTCATTCCTCACGAAGGGTGACACCTCCCCAGCTGTGTTTCTTGCCTGTTTTTCTCTCTCCCTCATCTCAAATATTTTTCCACCACACTGTACTTAGGAAGGAAGGAAGGAAAAGAGGAAAGAAGGAGAGGGAGGATCTGGAAGAAGTCCTGCCTTAGTCCTGCCCTGCTGCTCTTTCACCATCCCCTTTCCCCCTCCTCCTGGCTTATCTTGGGGGTCTCTCATCCTATTGCTAAGGAAGCTTTGGATACAAAGCCGGGTCAACTCCTATGGAGAGGGAATGGGCCTCCCTCTGACTTTGCCGTCATACCCATCATGAGCAACCTGGCTAAGGAGAGCAAGCACAGCAGCAGCAGCCTTAAGGAGAAGATAAATGCAGCTGAGTGCCCCCTTCATGAAGTGGGGCTGGGCTTGGTGCTGCAGGTGCTCGAGGGCCAGGCTAGACATTTGATCTCTACTGCCCAGGGCTCCGGGCAGCCTACACCACTATCCATCCCCCCCACATGATCTGAGAGGAACAGTGAGGCTCCTCCAGTGGACCATGCCTTGGCACTTGTCCTGGTCCCATCTCCTTCTACCAGAGACCCTCAGATCCATCTCACTCCTGCCCAGGCCCCCACAGGCACCCTTGACGCGAACAATGTAGAGCTGGCGATGCCCACCCAGTAGGGCACATCCACTCCATCCATGCCCACCCAGTAGGCCACACCCACCCTGGCTACACCCACCAGCCCCCCCAAGGGCAACCACAATGCTGATGCGGCCCTCACTGAAATTGAGTTTGACACCCCTGTGGTATAGGGTTTCTTGCCTGAGCAGGGGATTGGACTAGATGACCTCCAAGATCCATTCCAACTTTATTATTATTATTATTATTATTATTATTATTATTATTATTATTACTACTACTACTATTGTTATTATTATATGCCTTACTCACATCCTTTATGATAGGTGCCTAGTCTTTGGGGGGGCACTACTTTCAATGCAGAATGTTTTGTCTGTTTATTGGCAATTCTGCATATGCCATAGTATTCATTTTTAATTTGTCTTGTATGAGGGTCAGTTCATAGGTTGTTTCAGTATTGGCAGTACTGATTATGTTCTTATTACTTCTTCTAAGTTATCATCTGTATAGTTCATATAAGTTATTTCCTTTATATTTGCAATTGTTATCTGAGTTTTTTCTACTGTTGTACTATTGTTTTGGGGTCTTTCATCTTCATAATTTTTTTCTGAATCTCTTCCAGTTCTGTTTCTCTGAATATTTTATTTCTGATAATGAATCTGCTTTTATCTGCTAACTGTGTTGCAGTGATATGAGTCTGAACTAATTCTTTCCCAGTGCTCAAACATTCACTTTAAATAGCCCCACTTTGTTGTTTCTGATTTATGTAGCAGATCAATGCTATGATCTTCAAATACAGTATACTTTTCTTTCCCCCATGGTTATTGTTTTTTTCCAGTAATCTAGTAATCCACAGAGCTAGCCTGATTTGTGTGGTCAAAGCTCCTGAGTCTCATTGTCCTGTTGTCAATAGATGCTTCGGAAATCTAATATCTGATGTGATCCTTGTTGAGCTTGGCAACAACAAACCTGATATAACAGTTCTCAACCTGTGGGTCGGGATCCCATTTGGGGTCGAACAACCATTTCACGGGGGTCGCCAAACAATGCAGTCCACCATTTTTCCCCTTTTCCTTAGCTGTGCTACTCCCTTTTATTCTATTGGCTTTTGAAAGCCAATAGAATAGATTCTCTTGACTAGAGTCTAATTCTATTGGCTTTCAAAAGCCAATAGGAATTGTCCAGGCTGTCTCTGCCCTGCTGAGCCCGCCAAAAGTCCCATTCTGCAAATGGTGCTGCACCAGTTGAGTAGTCCTCAACTTACGACCGTTTGGGGGTCACGGCATTAAAAAGGTTGAGAACCACTGTGATATAAGATACTTTTCCTGTTTTCCCATCATGGTTAATGGTTGTTGGAAACACTTAATCTGCTCTTCTGCTAAGACCTGGTGTGGATGTCTGATAAAATATGCTACCACGAACATAGCTCTCAACCTGATTAGAAGATTGCAAGTCCTTCCCCACAACAAGGGTATCCATGAAGCAATTATTAAGTATTATTATTATCATCCTGTTAGGAGTCAAACTTATGCAACCCAAGTGATTATCTAGTTTGCTTCACATTCTTTAGCTACTATAAATAGATGTTCAATGATACTTGGGCAATTCTGCTTCTGAGATGGTGCTCCTTAGTCTCTGCAGGGCTATGAAAAGGAAAAAAAGCTTTTGATTCTGATCTTTCCTCCTACATCTTTTCCCACAGAAATTTTCTCCAAACAGTTAATGTTCTCTGTACAGAAGCTTGATTAGTAAAGAGGGGCAATAAATAATTACCTTCCTACTTTCTGTTAGCAGAATTTTGCACTAGATTGAAGTGTCTATGGAGATTCTCAGTCATCCAGGTCATGATTGTCCCAAAGGTGCTTTCTTTCAAAATATAACTGGACTTTCTTGTTTTGCTTGAAGACATTTTACATCTCATCCAACAAGCTTCTTCAGTTCTGACTGAATGGTGGAGAATGGAAGGACTGCAAGGAATATAAATCTTCCATTCTCCACCATTCAGTCAGAACCAAAGAAGCTTCTTGGGTGAGAAATGAAACATCTTCAAGCAAAACAGGAAAGCCCAGATGGCGTTTGAAAGAAAGCACTTTTGGGACTACTGGATTGAAGATCCATTGTTTCCAAAGAACACCATGTTTCTTATTCCTTGATCAACCTTGCTATTATTCTTCCACTGCTAATTGTAGACACCATTTCTTGATCTAAAGCATCGTGCGGGTTCCTTAGAATCTCTGGTCTGGTTAATTTCATGTTGCCTCAGTGTTATATCCTTCCAATTCTTTCTTACAAAACTTAGCTTTCATCTGTCCTTTCTACAAGTTTTAATTATAACAATTAAAATAGTTAATCAACTATAGAATCACTGAGCTAGCCAGTCTGCAGGTGTCCATCCTTTCCCCATTTTCTAAGAGGTGATAGGAAATGATTTTCTTTCCCCAGATTTCTTAGTCTCATTTATTTGTTTTATTATTATCTGTGGGTCTTCGACCAATGGAAGCTTAATTATTCAAGTCCTAACTAAGGGTCTAAAAATGATTAAGTAGCATTTAAGAATATAGGCAGTTCCAAGCAAGGTGGTTTGTTGTAAAATTAGGATGTTCAGGTCTGTTAAATTCAAGATTTCCAGATATTGGGGAAGTTTGTTAGGCATCACTCCAAGGGCTCCAATCACAATTAGTACAAAAATGGATTTCTTTTTCCATTATTTTTATTTTATTTTATATATTTCTCATTGTGAATACGTGCATGCCTACAGATATACTCAGTTGGAACAGTAGTGGGCAGAACAGCTTGTCTGCAAGTTATGTTACTTATTTTTATTAACTAAATTATTTTTTCTCTTGCCTTTCCATTAAAATAAAATTTACCTGCTGATAAAAGAAAATGTGTTGTCTCAATAGTAAGCTGCTTAAGAATAGAATACAGTCAATCTGTATTGGAAGCTTAACCCCATAGCTTCGAGAATTAATGACATACAAATATAGTAAGTAGATAAATAAATAAATAAACTTACCATAAGATAAGTTTAGATCAGCTTTTTTCCCCTCCTTACAGATTCTGATCCTTTTCACCTCCACTTAGAAAGTCAGATTAATGTGCTGCCATATTCATTATTTCCGTCCTAGGTTATTAGCTGGCTTAAGTGTGGAGTTTATCTGTATTTGCATTCTGAATATTCAAGCATATTTGTCCAATTAAAACTTCTGCCAAGCCTCCTGGCAAACTAATGTGCTAACAAAATTGAAAGATATTTTGGATAAACAGTCATAAATAATAAGCAGCAACAGTCGGGGTTGTTTTGACAGATTCAGCCTTCTTAAAGAAATATGCAGTTCCATATTTGACACATATGTGCTTGTTGGAATTCCTGCCATGCTCAGGTTTCAATCAGATTGTATGCTAACAGCAATGTTGGAACATTTATCTTTGCCACCACTTACTTGTTTCCAGTGGTGGGTCTGGGCCTCCGAGGCTTAGAACGGACTTCCGGAAGTGGCATTCACGCACTTCGGGCAGGCTGTTCTAGGCCTGGGAGGCCTCCTTCAGACATCCAAGGTCTAGACTGGAGTTCTGGAAGCAGTGTGCATTAAGCCGGTTCTCTGAACTCAGCAAAATTTAGCTACTGGTTCTCCTGAACCAGTGCAAACCAGCTGAATCCCACCACTGCTTGTTTCCATATAACAAAGAAATACTTGGAAGCAATATATATTTTATACAGAGTAGTGATGCACTAGACTTTGCCAATGTGCCCATCTTTATGTCACTGCACTTTGTCTTATCTTAGCAGCACCTTTTTATTTTGGTTATCTTAATGCCTAGAATAAGAAATAGCTTCTTTGTAGAATGCTGAAAAGTGTATCTTGCATGACTAAGTCCTTTTTGTCTTTAGATATGAAGGACACCTCCCTAACACAGAAACATTTTTTTTTGATAAAGAAGTCATTCCTTTCAACATATCATATAATATCCACTACATTTCTACCAGCATTTGTATATCTTAATTAACATTCTATCAAAGAACGCAATCTGCTTGCTGCAATTTTTTACCGTTGAATTGTAACCTGCAGTAATTCACTTCATTTTTTTCTTCTTAAACACAACAGTGTTGTCTTTGATACATTTTTATAGAATTTTTTTTACTAAAGGTTGCAATTTACAACAATGAAAAGTAATATAAACTAAAGAAATAATTCATGCAAATTATTTGCAAACATATAATCACATTAGAAAGAAATACGAATCCTCTTGACCCAGTGCCTGAGGGAAAGGCTATGTATGGAAAGCTTTATAAAAAGTAGGCAGGGTTGGGGTTATCCATATCTTGGGGGAATCCTTTTCATAGGGCAAGTGCAGTTAAGTCACACCAACTGAGTTCCAAAAGATGAATTTTTTTAAAGAGATGGGACTCAGACTTGCTAACTCTATTGGATCTTTTTAGATGATTGGAGCTGATCTGAAACAGGTGTTCCTGCACAATAATCTTTCCCTGTACCATGAAGGTCTTCAAAATAGTGCTTCTTTTTCATCAATTTCTTCTGGACCTTAGCATTTATAATATTCCATTCCATTATTTAGGTGTATCACTATAATCCCCATATTAATCTGTGAAATACTCATTCCAGCAATCCATTTTCATCCCAAATAATTTCATCAAATTTCTTTTTAAACTATCTTGGAAGCTGCTAAAATATGAGTTGAGTTGGGATCTCCTCTTTTTTTTCCATTCAGTGTTAATGCCTTCACAAGATCTATGCTTGACACTACTAAACTTGGATGGTACAACATTCATAATCTCTTATCTCATTTACTCAGTCTCCCATAGACAATCAAACATAAAATAAATCAAATCAGTCATACTTTGATTTATTTTTTCCACATATACTTATGAATACATTATGCTTAAACTTTGCTTGGTTATCTGAGAAGAATTTGAGACTCTGACTCCTGAGAAAGTAGACAGGATTGTGTTTGATCAGTCACCTGTATATTAAATCCTGTCACTTCTGGTTGGTTAAGACCACATAGTATGGAGTAGGCAGTTGTGTCCAGTTGTGATGGTGGAGGCCTCTTTGAAAAAGGGGATGGTCCTGACCAGGGCTTTTTTTCCTCATAGAATGCCCAGAACAGAGTTCCGGCACCTTTTTTGGATGGAACCTTGTAGGGTAGGCAAGGTGGGTTGTATGACATGTGGGAGTTCTGGCACCTTTTTTTTTTTTTTTAGAAAAAAAGCACTGGTCCTGCCAATCTTGAGGGAAATGTGCTATATTCTCTTCTCAAGAGGCCTTCTACAGATCCAACCAAGATAGAGGTCTTTCACCCAGTCTCCAACCTTCCTTTTTTAGGGAAGGTCACTCAAAAATCCTTGAGTTACAATTTCACAGGGCTGTAAAGGAAATGGATTATCTAGACCCTTTTTATTCAGGTTTCAGGCTGAGATATGATAAGGACTGATCATACTTGCGAATGCCCAGTAGCGAAGCCAAGATGGGTACAGGAATGCTTAGTGTATAATTTACCTTCTTTACCAACATTTTTAGCAGTGTATTCCCTTATGTCTGAACTGGGATTTTAACTCAATGCCTTCCTATGGCGAGCTTCCAGGTCACAATCACAATAACATCTGTTTTCTTCCGTAACTAGATGGATTAAAACTGAGAGTTAAGCTGATATTCATGAAATTGTCACAATTCCCATTCATTGTTGGGTTTCCAAATGACTCAGTTGCTTTTTCTGTATTCTTTCATCTCATTCTGTTCTTTTAGTGACATCATTCATATTACCAAACACATTTTTTTCTGATGAATCATATTTATTCAGAATTTTATATTTGTTCTCAAAACTCTGTTCTGCTTCTTTCGTTCACTAAAACGTAGCATGTAATTACTACCAACCTAAGAAAGCCATCAATAGATCTTCCATTTATATTGACCCCTAGCATCCATATTATCTTTGGGCAAGCCAGACACGTAATACTTTTTATAAGACAGAAATTTCAGACTAGACTACCAGCCTCATTCAAGTTAGGTTCTCTAATCTACAGACAACCTTGCAAATCAGTATATTCTTGCTTTCACCCTATAAATTAATTCTCGTACATAAGGAGACAGTTTAGAAAAGAAATATTAAGTTGGAAGATTAGTCATTGAGGTAGCTGGTGAAAAAGTAGGCAGATAACAGGAACCAGTATGTTTTATGCAAATATTAATTCCTATTTTTTATTGAAAGACTGATCATACATTTTTTGTTTTGTTCCCTATAGAAATGCATTAATTGTTTCCACACATTCTTGTCTTTATATGCAAAAAAAAAAAAGACCTACTGTTTCATAGAGCAGTTGAATTTTGAGTAGAGTCATAATGACTCTGTACCAGTTTATGGGTTGATTTATAAATGTATAGAACTTTAGCTCTAGGAGTAAGATTCAAGAAAACTGGAAGTCATTCTGTATATTCGTTAAAGAAATGACCCAAGAAAAATGTTTGCATTCAGAATTATACCCTATGCATCTAGCGGGTTTAGATTTTCTGTTTTCTGAGGGTTTTCTTTTGTTTTCTTTTTAAATACAGAGCAGTTCTTATATTGTTTCTCTGATTTTTTGGTACTAATAAAGATACTGAAGTATGGTTCTTTTTTAGAACTATTCTCCGAATGGCAAAATATGTTGTTGTTCAATTGCTAAATAATGTCTGACTCTTTGTGCTTCCATAGACCATAGTATGCCCTCCCCCATCCTCCACTATCTCCTGGAGTTTGCCCAAATTCATATTCATTGCATCGATGATACTATCTAACCATCTCTTCGTCTGCTGTCCTCTTCCCCTTTTGCCCATTAATCTTTCCCAACATCAGGGACTTTCCCAATACATCCTCTCTTCTTATTTGGTGACTACTAATTAATTCTTTGGGGGATGAAGAATTAGGAAAGCATAAGTTAATATAAAGAAGTAGGAAAGTATAAGTTAATACAAATATCAGCTACATCAATGTTGCAGGGTGAACGTAAGACACCATTCCAACCTGTCATTCTAAACTGCAGGAAAATCTGCTTTCATTATTGTAGTTGCCTTTCACTAGTATTTGAAGCACTGAATAAAACAGTCCCTTGTAGGTGGAGTTTTGTACCTTGTAGCTTTACTTTTCCTCCCAACATCCCAGTAGGATGAATTGGAAGTCGCTGGGAAGAAAAGCAAGCCATGTAACTTCCCCTTGTTTCCTGTTGATGATTAGAACAGGATCTCTGGGGAGAAGGCACTTGTAAGTTGCTGAGTGCAAGTTTGCTGGAAACAGTTGGTAGGCCAGTGATCCCTAGTAGCGTTGATAAGAGGGAGTGAATCTAGGCTTTTTAGCATCCCCAAAATTATTTTGCTTAAGCACTATCATTGAGCAAAAGAAAGAAACAACTACCATCAGAAAACCATAATCTGGTATTTGCCTAATTACACTGATCAGTTTGTACAAAATGCCATCTGTTTTCCTGATGATCAGCTGATTGCACAGATGCTAGTGGAAAACATGTTTGGGTACTCTGCATCTCCAAGGAATTTGAGCTTTTTATCAATAACTTATGCAACTGCCCACTACTTGATATAGTCAAATTGAAGTTCTGAATATATTTTTGAATAGCAGATTTCAAAGCTTAACAGCTCATCTAATACTTGGACCCAACTATGGATTTTGAATCCCCCCCCCTCAAAAAAAACCCATAACAGTAATGTTTCCTTTCTATGAACTACTTCTGCCTTCGCATGAAATTAAATGGGCAATATTCAGTCCTGAATAGAACCACATCAGATTAAGCCATCTGTTCTGTCAGAATGTTATTTAAACCTCCTATTTTGAGTTTTTCATCCAGATGAACATAGAATAGAAGAGGGCTTTCTCTGCCATTGCCTTATCCTCTGGAAACTTCTTACTCCAGAGGAGATGTCGGCCCCCTTTTTCTTGGCCTTTTGAAGAGTTTGAAGACCTGGGCAACAGGCAAACCTGGGGTTAGTTGGTGCCTTGATGGCCCTTTCCCTACCTTTTAAATTATTTTATCCTTGTTATATCTGGCTCCTTTTATTCATGTGTCATCTTTTTAATATGATTTTTGGCCCACTCTGTCACTTAAACGAGGAGTAACTAAATTTGATCAA